CTCTCTGGCATCAGCGGGATACGAACTCACAACCTTTCAGCATGTGGTCCCACTGCACATCACACTTTAAAATAGTAAAATAAAAACCCTTTAGCAGCTATAAGCGCAAATTGTGCTTTTATTTGTTTGATGGAATACTCAAATAATTTATGAAAACCTTAATTGTCAGAAAGGCAAAAGAAAAAATCTAACTGTATGTAATTATTAAATATGTCTGAACTTCTGACTATAGTTACTAAAACAACATTACCTGTATGTTAGTATTACTATTATCAAGTCCAAGGACCCCAAAGCTCTCCACTCCTCACACTCATTCATTCATTCATTCATCATGTGATGGGGTGAACTTCTCTGTAGCTACAGACAGATGGAAGCCAAACCATCGGCACCAGTGGGCCAGCAGGCAAGGCATCATAACCACTGAGACAGGATTGAAACCAGCAACCCAACAGTTACAGGCTGAACCAACATGGCTGCCTCTGAGCCTCTATGAACTAATCCCCAAATTAGCTTTAATTTCCATAAAGTTTATTATGAACTGAAGTGAAAAATTTATTTTTAATGAATGTAATCAGCAGCTGTTATTTTAGCAAACTGAGTCTGTGTTCATCTGACTCAGACTGAACTTAATCAGTCTCCTAACATTTGATCTCACTAAATGCTGCTAATATTTAGCTCCTCCTCTGCCTCCTAACCTCTCACTGATCTCGATTCAGAATATCACTGATATCTATTGATGTTTTAATCTTAGCCCATATTTGGAGCTTTTAATATTAAACTCAGAACCAGTTTTATTGTCTTGGCTTTTAATATTCACCTGGGGAATCTGGACAGCTTCCTGTTGATTGAAGTTCATATAAATCTACAGGCTGCAGCAAAATGCCTTTAAATGCTTCGCTAACCTCTCTGTGCTGGATGTTCTTCATACATGCTGAGCAGAGTTTAGTCTGATGGCAGAATTCAGAAAAAGCTTCATAACTCGGATGAGGAGGCAGGATTCCTGCAGCTGATGCTGTGCAGAGTTTTCCTACCCAGCAGACCTCCACATGCGCTCCCTCCTGCTGCCAGTTTGATCAGCAGCTCCTCCCCTGCTGAGGTCATGTGCAGCAGTAACCCACTTTAACTTCAATCACAGCTGCAGGTCTGAAGCATCTTTACTCATTAGTTAAAGCTTAACTTTGATTCAGACACGTCTCCTTTCTCCGCCATGCAGCTCTGCTAAATTTCCCTCAATGCAAAAACAACCTAGAAGGACGTTTTTCTTAAATTAAATGTATTTACTCTTAATTTTAGCAGGTAAATAGTAAATTTGTACTTATTTCTAGATCCTTTTTGCAGTGTATAAACACATTTTGGTATCAAATCGAACATAAACCAGGAGGCAGGAGAGGCTGTGCTGTTTTTGAACATTTGAAAACTAAATTTGAAAATGAAATAAAAAAAATGACAGATTTGTATTTTTTGCAGTGCTCCTCTGCCCGCTGACTCTAACGAAGGAATGATTTCCTGCAGCATAATTCTTTAGTTCAGCAGGATGTGCAGCTTTATTCTTCCAGCACACAGACAGAGACACATGGACCAATGTTCTGTGTTAAAACTCTGCAGCTTCGGTCAGAAGGTTTGATTAAACACCAAAGAGCTCAGTTTGCAGATGAAGGGACCTCTGAAGGCTGCACTGGATTTTATTTTAAGCATCACACTAAATAGAGCTGAAGAAATTCACTCCAAACTAGATTTTTATTTGTAAAATTTGATCATAAAAAACATTAATTTATCTGAAGCGTTATGCTATTATGTAGAAAGAAACTGATGCAGATTTATCACAATAAATGCATTAAGGTGATAGAAATGTGAAACATTTTAAGGCACAATGGGGTGAAAGAAATATTAGAACAATTAAACCAATTAAACCCAGTTTATCTTCATCAGACTGACGTTCCTCCAAAGTTTCAGAAAGCTTCTGTTTTTTCAATCTAAATTAAAGGTGTCATTTTAACAGATAAAACTAATAAGGAGCACAAATAGCTTCATAAAAGAATAATAGTGAAGGCCTGACATGGTTTGGCCTTCAGTCTTGGATGAGCTTTTAAATCGAGCTTTGCAGGACACGAGGAGATCTTCTACAACCGAGGTAAACATCAGAGTTCGGTGAAGGATTCAGTTCTTCTTCTTGGCTTTTCCTGACGTGCTCCCAGCTTTGGAGGCGGGGTTATATTTGGAGGACAGCAGCATGGTGAGCAGCAGCAGCAGCGGGACCAGCAGGTAGGGCGCGTAGATGGAGACCAGCAGCCAGCGCTCTCTGTCAGTCTGGGGGCCGGGGTGGGGTTTGGTGGGGAACTGATGGAAGAGGATATGAGCCAGGATGGGGATCAGCGTGGTGGCAACATGTGTGGAGTAAAGGATGGCCGGAGTCCGGATCCACGTACAGCCACCTGCAGGAGGAGAGCGATCAGCAGGAGCAGAACCAGGCTGCACACCAATCATTAAGCTAAAGAGCTAACATGCCAACTTTAACCAGCTGAATGGAAAACCTGAGATCAACTCAAAGAAATTCTGTCTGACTTTAGCAGCCTGACAGGTTGAGTTCTCAGGCT